ATCTTTGATACATTTCAAGTTAATTTTTGTGAGTGGCGTGAGATAGTCCAATTTCATTCTTTCGCAAGTGGATATTGAAGAGGCTGTCCTTTCCCCATTGTGTGTTCTTGGCACAACTGTCAAAGATCAGTTGATCATAAATATGTTGGTTTATTTCTGGGCTCTCTGTTCTGTTCCACTGATCTATGTGCCTGTTTTTATGCCAGTACCATGCTGTTTTTATTATTATAGTGTTGTAATATAGCTTGAAATCAGGAAGTGCGATGCCTCTAGCTTTGTTCTTCTTTCTCAGGATTGCTTTGGCTGTTTGGGGTCTTTTGTGGTCTTAAACAAATTTTAGGTTTTTTTTCCTATTTCTGTGAAAAATATCATTGGAATTTTGGTAAGGATTGCATTGACTCTGTAGATCACTTTGGGTAGTATGGAAATTTTCAGAATATTAATCTTCCATTCTAGAAACACAGGATATCTTTCCATTTATTTGTGTCTTCTTCAATCTCTTTCATCAATGTCTTATATTTTTCAGTGTACTGATCTTTTACTTCCTTGGATAAATTTATTCTTAAGTATTTTATTGTTTTAATACTATTATAAATGGGGTTGCTTTCTTAATTTCTCTTTCAGATAATTTGTTGTTAGTATATAAAAATCCAACTGAGGGAAATGGAGGCTGCCCTGGTAATGATGGGACAGAGCCTCAACCTGGGATCAGGGATAGGCTAAGAGCAGTGGCAGCACCTGTCTTATATGTGGTAAGGTCTGTGGTGCCAGATCCCTGAGAGTGGGACACAGCAACAACCGGGGCCCCTGAGGACAAGTCTGACCTCTGCAACAACTCCAGCCTGGGGAGTAGATGCAGAGGTGGGCACCCCATGCTACTCCATTAGCTGGGATCAGCATCAGTGAAGACTGTGGGAAACCTCTGTAGCAAGAGCCGCAAATGTCCACAATGGTGCAGATTCTGGGGTTCTGCCTTCCTTCTCCCCGTGTGGTGAACTTCTTCAAAAGGGATTCCTCCAGGTGTGGAGCAGCTCCTGACTAGGGGATGGGATGACACAGGTAACATGCTTCCTGTGCTTTTGTGTGTGCCCATCCTCAATTTTTGAGCTCTTCAGTTTTTTGCTGCTGCTTCTTTGTTGTCTAGAGCTTTCCCTGAGCTGTTTTCTTCAGTTTGTAGTAGTTTATTTATTGTTCTTATTGTTTTTTTGTGAGGGAGATGAGCTTTGGGACTCCTAGGCCTCCATCTTGCTGATGTCACCTTCTGCACAGTAATTTCAAATTTTCTTCATTTTAAAAAATATGTTCTCCCCCAGGAGATATACAGTATTAGGGAAATGCCATCCTTTTAATTAAGTAAATTTCTCCTCTCTTTGGGTTGTTGTATGAACTGCATCAGCAACTCCACATCTGTGCCTCTCCTGCTTCCCCCTAACATAAACACACCTGGGTCCGCAATGTGATTGGACTAATGATGTTACTGCCAATATCCTGGACTTAATTCCTAGATGGTCAATGAGTTTAACTCTGTCCCATAGCATAAAAGTGCCTGTCTTTCAAAGGTATCTCATTACATTTTCAGGAGCTTGAGGGAAGAGGAATGAGCAACCCTCAATGCATATTGAGCTTCACCATTTACAAAGAAATTTTATGTTTATTATTTTATTTACTTATTTATTCCAAAAGCTTTCTAAAGTAGGGAATTATTATGCCCATTTTACATGTAAGGAAATAGATCACATGATCAGTTAGTGGCAGAGTTAGGATTAAAACTCTTCATTTGACCCTAGTCCTGTGGACTTACCACTATTCCATCTTTAGGATTAGAAAAATGACTAAAACTTCTGAACCTACAGATAGTGTATTAGTAACAGTATTTTAACGTCTTAATGATGGATTATTAATATCGTATTTAATCCAACCAGTAATGACAGATAGGAGGCAAAACAGGCATGGTTATTGCATCAATTTCATCAACTTAAGAATCATGTGGCTTTGAACAATTCCTTTCTCTCGTTGGTATCTTAGGTGCTCTATCTGTAAAATGAAGGGAAACAATTATATGATCTCTAAGGTCTTTTGTTATCCTGAGGCACCATGATTCTTTGTTGTTCCCCCAAACAACTTTGGATTGGCACAAACTATAGACTCTTCAGCTTGTTGCAGTTCAGTTATTGAAGAAGAGAGAGTTCTGATTTTGGTTCTAGATTAAACCACCTTCCAGCTCCCTATATAATAATTTAGGGTACATCAGGAGAAAAAATTATTAGTAATCAAGTGTAAAATCATAGAGAAATCTGTTGAAAATTGTTTTGGAGTGATATTTAGCATTAATTAAGTATTTCAGTAAGAGAGGTGGCACAGTGTATTGGCCTTATAGTCAGGAATTCTGGATCCAAATTTTAGCTTTTCCATTAACACTGAGGGTGGTTAAAAATTATGTTCAAGGAGTTTAGAATTCTGATCTATAAATCCACCTGGAGTGAATAAACTCTGAAACCCTTTATAGCTTGTCTATGACTCTGTAAGGATTCTCCTTTCTATCCCCTTCCAGTAATCCAAGAAATGATTTTTCATTCAATTCATGGACCTATTTCTCAGAAATCGAATTAGGCTAACCAGGGTCAAGATTTCCCACAGTGAGAGTTAAGCGATAATGAGAAAGAGGTTTGCACAAAATCAGTTGAGCTTCCACAGCCTCTCTCCCCACAGATAATGTCAGGTGGATTTAGAATATTGGTGGATTGAGCCAAGTGTGGGCTGTCACCTGACAGGGTGTCTGTATTTATCTCTTCAGCATATTGATGTTAGTTTGTTAGCTCTGCACTACAGTTCTCGTTTTTCTTCCCCTTTCTCAATGGGGTATCTGTATCACTTCTAGTACTCTGTCCACTAAACCAGCCAGTCAGCTCTACTCTTTACTGAATTTCAATGCTCTCTGGCCAAAGCTTTCTTTTTTTTTTAAATTTTATTTATTTATTTTTTCCCCCAAAGCCCCAGTAGATAGTTGTATGTCATAGCTGCACATCCTTCTAGTTGCTGTATGTGGGACGCGGCCTCTGCATGGCCGGAGAAGCGGTGCGTCAGTGCGCGCGCGGGATCTGAACCCGGGCCGCGAGCAGCGGAGCGCACGCACTTAACTGCTAAGCCACGGGGCCGCCCTGGCCAAAGCTTTCTTTATGGCCTTTGGCTGATGGAGGTAACAATATTTTGTTGTTGCTATTTACATTTGAATAATACATTCGAGTGCATAAACTACTATTTTAAAAAAAGAGAAAACAAACTTTGAATACTTCTAGATGTTAAGCACTAAGCTTGGCAATTTTAACATATTATTTAATATTAATGCAGTGTATCTGTGAGGTTATTTTAATTTTAAAAATGAGAAAGCTATTACTAGAGGTGTTGTATGACTTGCCTAATGTCACACGACTAATAAATTCAAATGCATATCTCCAGACTCTTCAGGCCTAGTTTTCTTTTTCCTTCCGTGTGTATCTATTTGATCATTTGATTCTCTCAGCAACCCTGTAAACAGAGGAAAGATTATTCACTTTGTTTTACCTTTATTTTTCTGCTCTATCACAACACCAGAAGAGTAACAGGCACATAGTTGATGCTCAATAAGGATGCATTGAATGATTCAGTGAATTGAATTAGGTTTATGAATTAAGGAAATTGGGGTTCAAATGACTTTTCCAAGGTTATCATCTAGAGAGTGGCAGTTTAGAGTGAGAACCATTTAATTCAGATGTTTCTACTATTCTGTAGATCTTTCTCAGGGTCTTTTTTAGAACAGGAACCTTTCTCACTGCTAGGGATAAATATTAGTGAGAATATATATTGACTGTTTCTTAAGACTCCGTCTCAACTGTTATCCTATGTCTTTTATAGCCCTGGTTAACTGGATGTTAAGAATAGTTATTATGTATCTGTTAATGGCAACCTGCTGGGTCCAAGGTAGAAATGGGGAAAACTGAGACCTAAGGAGATACAATACTGTAACTTGCTTAACGGTCTACTTCAAATCATGAATACAGCTGGCACTAGGACCCAGGATTTCAGGCTCCTAGTGTATTACTTGGTTCTACACCATGCTTCTTGACCCTTGGCAACAACCTTTCTTTCACTATATCTTTCTTTCCCCTAAACTACCCAGGGCCTTTCTTTATTTCTAGTCCTGTCAAACCACACCAAGCTCCTCCTAACAAGGTGAAAGTTTCAGTCACAGCCTGGGCCTGATTAGGTGGTTAGTAAAGTGCCGAGTGCTTGGAAAGGCTTACAGAAGGCATTCAAATTGGAGAAGCATGAAGTAGCTGAGGGTCATTAGAAAATCAGAAAACTTGGATTATAGTCCTAGCTATGCCTCTCACTAGCAATATGACTGTGGGCAAATTTGATGTCCTCTCTGAGCTTATTTCTCCATGTATGAAATGAGAGAGATTAGAGAATCTCTTAAGAGTCCTGGTAGCTTTAACATTTAATGGACTGTTATTGCTTTGTTGCCCTATCTCCACAGGGTGAGAAAGGAAGGTAGACTAGATGCAATTCAAGGGTCTGTCTGGCTCTGTTGTTCTGTGAACCTATGTTTCTCCAGGCTAAAAGAGGGGTAAGTTCTTAGTAATAAAATTTTCCTTTCTTATTTTGAGACTATCTCATTCTTGCAACAAAATTTGATGAATCAACTTTTTGCCAGGTACTGTTCTCAGGGACATTCTGTCCAGGATTTCCGCTTGTGTTTCTCCACTGCTGGGTTGGGGCTGGACCATGTGTTTGGTAAAGCTCATGCCAATGCTGGAATAAAAGCTCAATTAGAGTGACCACTGTCTGCCTCCTACACAGTTGTGACAAATAGGAAGTTCTTGCTGGTTTGGTTAAGAAATAGAGCTATTTAATTGGCCCAGTCTATTGATTGAAATCTTCTTGAATTAAAGTATTTAAACATGTAATTGTTTCCTATTAAGAACTATTATTCTTCATTTCTTTTTCTTCCACTGCCTCAGACTCTCTCCTAAGCATGCTCCAGATATTCCTGATGACAGCACTGACAACATCACTATCTTCACCAGAATCTTGGATCGTCTTCTGGATGGCTATGACAACCGGCTGCGACCTGGGCTTGGAGGTCAGTTACTATTTTAAGATCTTCTTCTTGGCCATTGTCATCTAAAAAGATTCTTAAGGTGCCTTCAGTAGTCTATTGATCAATGAGGTTAGTGTAAAGCTGAGTTTCTTCCCCCTGAGCACTGGAAATTAGTTCTAATCCTTCATATCAATGATCAATCTCTCTGGTCTGGTTTTGGAAGGTTCTGAATTTCACTTAGGTAAATGCATTTAGGGTATTATACCACAACTTTTGGTCAAGCCCATTTCTGGTAACAAAATACCAATCCCTGCCTGGATGGTAGGTGTAGCCCAGGAACAGCTGGGAAACATGCCTTTGTTCTCAAAATCCTGAGCGTACATCCGCCTGACATTCCAAAGAGGAGCAATGTGCTGGCTAGGTGGAATCTTAGTTGGCCATCAGTTTAGTATAATCAGCAATATGATCACAATGAGGTAAATGCATTACAATACATCATGGGCTGTATTGAAGGGGCAAGTATGTAAATGTATGTGTGTTTTTATTTTTTTTTCCTCAACCACTTGAGAATTAGTTGCAATAGTAACTAGCAAAAATGAAACATAGAGGACAAAAAGACAGAAAATGTGAACAGGACATCAGTGCACTGTGTGATAGCTTTAAGTAGCCTAATATAAGTGTTATTGGATTATCTGAAGGGGGCAGAAAATGTATTTGGAGAAAAATTGGTCAAAAATATTCTAAATTTGATGAAAATTGTAATCCTCCCAAACCAAGAAGCTCAACAAACAAGAACCATGATGAAAATTACACTAATGGAAATGATCAAATTACTTAGAAGTAGTGATAAAGAGAAAATCCTAAAAGCAAACAGAGTAATCATTATGTATAGAGGGAAAATTTTAGAAGGACAGCAGGCTTCTTGTCAGAAACAAGCAAGCAAGAAGGTAGTTAGCAACAGCTTTAAAGTACTGAAAAAAAACCTGTCAACCTAGAATTCTATAACGAGAGATAATGTATTTTAAAAACATAGACGAAATAAACACTTTTTAAGACTCATAGAAGCTTAAAAATTCATCACCAGCAGGTCTGTACTGCAAGAAATGTTAAGGGCAATGTGTCAGGAAGAAGGAAAATGATGCAAGATAGAAACATGGATCTATACAAAGGAAAGAAGAGCAACAGAAATGGAAAATATGTGGATAAATATAAAACAATTTCTTTTTTTCTAAATATCTTTAAATGATAAATGACTACTTAAAGCAAAAATAATAATGATGTATTGTGTGGCTTGTAATATATGAGGAAAGTATATAACAACAATAGCACAAAAGCCAGGAGAAGATGAAATGGAAATATACTGTTGAAAGGTTTTTATATTGCATGTGATGTGATATAATATTCTTGTAGTTGGATTGTGATAAATTAAGGATATGTACTGCATAAAGAAAAACTATAGCTAATGATGCAAGAAAGGTTATAAAAATGAAATAATAAAAATATTTAAGGGATAGGAAGGCAGAAAAAAGGAAAAAAGAAACAAAAAATAGATGAAACAAATAGAAAACCAATAGAAACCATATCGGTCATCACATTAAATATAAACAATCTAAGCATTCATTTTAAAAGGCAGAGAGGGTCAAATTGGATAAAAAGAGCAGGACCCAAAATTGTTCTCTGACACAAACTCACTTTAAATATAAAGCTATAAAGGTTAAAAGTAATAGGATGGCAAAAGATGCACTACAATCATCAAAAGAATGTCGGAGTAGATATTTTAATTATCAGAAAAAATAAATAATATGAGCAAAAATATTACTAGGAATAAAGAGGGCCATTTCATAATGAAGGGGTCAATTTATCAAGAGTACATAACAATCCTAAATATTTATGCACCTAATCACAGAGCAAAGACTGGGCACTGAAAGGAGAAAGGGATGATCTATAATTATAGTTAGAGATTTAAATACTCCTCTCTCAATAAGCAATATAACAAGTAGACAGAAAATAAGTAAAGGTATCAGAAACAGCATCCACACTATCAACCATCTTGACTTAATTGGCATTTATAGGACATTCCAACCAACAATAACAAAATACATATTCTTTTCAAGTATAACTACAACATTTACCAAGACAGACCTTATTCTGTATTGTAAAAAAATTAAAAGAATTCACAACATAGGATTAAAAGTCAAAAACAGAAATATATCTGGAGAATATCCAAGTACTTGGTAACTAAATAATATACTTCTAAATAATCCATGAGTCAAAGAAGAACTCACAAGGAAAATTTAAAACTTTTTCAATTGCACAAACTAAAAAACATGATATAAGCAGTGCTAAGAGGAAAACTTATAACACTAGATGGCTATGCTAGAAATGATTAACCTCAAATCAATGCCCGTCTTCACCTTAAGAAACTAGGAAAAAAAATAAGAGGAGCTAATAATAAAAATAGAAGTAATAAATATAAGAGCAAGGATCAACAGGGCAAAATCTCTGAGTCATGGCTCTGGTTCTGGGGGTGAGAACAATGGAACACTTATTTCTAAGGGACAACCCCACTTTAGTTGCTGAGTGCTTGGTGGAGAGATATTGGCAGCAACCCCAGGTCTCCTCAGCTTGCACTTTCCATCATGGACCACTGCCCCATGAGCCAGATCAAGGGCACTTGAGGCCACAGTACTCTCAGCACTGCCTTCGCCAAGTTATACCATGAGTGGGGACTGGAAGGAAGAAAGATCTCCTACCTCTCAGCCAAACTTGCCCAGAATTTAGCCTCAGCAAGAGGTAGCTTGCTTCAGGATGAGAAATACAGGCATCCTGCCCTTGCCATGAAGATAGCCCTCAAACTGGGAGCTAGGAGAAGAGATAGCCCTGTGTTTTTTCTTAGCTACACCACTCTGAAGTAGAGTTTCTGTCTCACTGAGCTGGAAAGGGGTAGAGTAGGAACAAGCCTTGTTTTAAATATTGTGGACTTCCGATTTCCTTGCTGAGTTTTAGTAGATTTTCTTGAATAGTTTCTTTGTTTTGTTGGATGGGCTTAGGACCATTTCCAGAAACTTTAAATTATTGTTTTTAAAATAAATTTAACCAGTTTCACTGAGGAGCAGGTCTGCAGAGCTCATCATGCTTTCATGCTAGAAGTGGAATTTCTAGTAACTATTTTTTTAGATTTCATAAGATTATATACATAGATGATTATGTCATATGAGAAGAAAGACAGTTTTAATTCTTCCTCTGCAATATGGATGCCTTTTTTTTCCCTTGCCTTATTGCACTGACTAGACCTCATGTATAATGCTGAAAGCAGACCCCATTGTCTTATTCTTGATCTTAGGGAGAAAGCTTCCAGTCTTTCACCATAAAGTGTAATGTTATGTGTAAGTTTTTCTTACGTGTGCTTTATCAAGTTCAGGAAGTTCTCTTGTGCTCCTAGTTTGTTGAGACTTTTTAACAGGAATAAATGTTGCAATTTTTCAGATGCTCTTATTGTGTCTATTGAGTTGATTATATGGCTTTTCTTTTTTAGTTTGTTAATATGGTGAATTACATTGGTTGATTTTCAGATGTTTAAACCAACCTTCATTCTCATGATAAATGCAATTTGTATCTTAATTGCTATATATTTATGGTAGGTTTGATATCTGGTAGTATAAGTCCTCCAGCTTTGTTCTTCTTAAAGATTTCCTCGGCTATTCTTGTCCCTTTGCATTTCTAGATAACCTTTAGAATAAGCTTATCAATTTCTAATAAAATCTGGGATTAGCCTTGCATTGAGTCTGTAGGTTAACTTGGGGAATTTTTTTAATCTTTATAATACTGAATCTTCTAAATGGTGAACATCATATATTTCTCCATTCATTTTCTTCTCCTTTAATTTCTCTCAAAAACATTTTGGCATTTTCACTTTAGAGGTCGTGCACATTTTTGATTGATCAATGCCTTGAGATCTGATTTTTATGCTATTTTTAAATTTTGTTACTGCTATGCCGAAATATGATTGATTTTATATTTGCCCTTCTATCTAGAGACTTTGTTGTATTGACTTATTAATGCCAATAGTTTGTCTATCATTTCTTTTAGATTTTCTGTAAACATATTCATATCATCTTAAATTAAAGTAGAACAGAAGAGGTAATAGCAGGCATCCTTGTCTTATTCCTAATTTCAGAGGAAAAGCTTTTGATATATCACAATTAATAATGGATTTTGTTGTAGGTTTACTTTGTAGATATTCTTTATATGGTTGAATAAATTCCTTTCTGTTCCTAGTTTGCTGAGAAGTGTTATCATGAATAAATCCTGCATTTTATCAAATGCTTATTTCTATACCTGTAAAGATTATCATGATTTTTTTCCATTTTTTCTGCTGCTATAGTGAATTAAATTTACCCCATGAATTAATTAAAATATGAGTGACAAACCACCCTTTCATTCCTAGAATAAACTCTGCTTGATCATGATGGATTAGTATTTTATATATCACTGTAATTAATTTGCTAATATTTTGTTTTGGATTTTTGCATCTTTTTAAAAGAGAGACATTGGTCTATTATTTTCTTTTCTTTATAATGTCCTCATTCAGTTTTGGTAATAAGTTTATGCTGACTTCATAAAAAAAGCTGGAACATTTTCCCTTCATAGCTGTTCTCTCAAAAAGTTCATGTAGGATTGGTGTTATATCTTCCCTGAAAGTTTAGAAGAATTCACAGGTGAAACCATTTGAGTCTGTTGTTTTGTCTGTGGAAAGGTTTTTAATAAAGTATTAAATATTGTTGATAGAGTATTCACATTTTCTATTTCTTCTCTCATTTTCTATAGGAAGTGTTTTTTGAGGAATTTGTCCATTTCATCCAAATTGTGAAATTTATTGCCAAGAAACTGTTAATATCCTCTTACTCTTTTTTTATTTTCTTTCTTTTTTGAGGAAGATTAGCCCTGACCTAACATCTGTTGCCAATCCTCCTCTTTTTGCTGAGGAAGATTGGCTCTGGCCTAACATCCATGCCCATTTTTGTCGTCTTTGTATGTGGGAT